TTTTCCTAATATTTATACAAATTTTATATGGTTGGATAGATCTTGAAATTATCTTTCCAATGATATATTATAATATTAATTCCGAGCTATAACGAAAAAGATATGAATGAGATATGAAACTCTATCTAAAACTGACACCGTTCTACTATTTTGGCCATATCTTTTTATCTACAAATAATTTTAATCTGATTCTAATTTTTTTTAGAAATTAGACTTCAAGAGCTTCCCAACGACATATCATATGCCTTATTTGGACTTCTAGATCAAAAGATATGATAAAAACAAAATCCGCAAAACTGCTGTCCATCAAGTTTTATTTCTATTCGAATTCGGATTCTTTTCTTATTCTTCGACCCTCTTTTTTCTATATAAATAGAGGTAATATCATGATATGATATGATTTATAATATGATATTTTTTTTCAATAAAATTATAATATAATTTGTATATATGAATATTGATATTTTATCGAAAATAAAACTTTGAACTAACAATCTTATTCTAAAATTCTAAACCAACTTTTATCCTACCAAATCTATCTAAATTTATTCAATTTTTTTTATTAAAAAAATGAATCATATGTACGTGTCAAAATAATTCTTATATGTCACCAACGTGGCACGATACTTGGCAAAAAATTGAAATGTCAAGCGTTATCCCGTGGCCTAGCTGCGAGCCTGCGAAACCAACTTAATTTATTAGTGATATGATAGGATATAATCTCATGTAGTTTTTACTACCACATAAACTAATTAAGAACTTTCTCAAAAAAAAAAACACTAATTAAGAATGGTCTTCCGGATAGAAAAAGAATCGCACCCAATTTAATCTAATCAAACCCAATGGACAAATCAACTTAAGGGTGATTTATGAACCTGATTTTTCACTTATTTGAACTTAAAAGATTTTATCAAAATTTATTTTAGTTGTAATTTAAATTTGGGTAACCCTTATCAGAACTTAATTTTTACTGAAGTGAATCTATCTAAATTTATATAAACTTTTTGTCAAAAAAAAAAAAAAGAACTTATTCGACTTGAAATAAGTAAAAATAAGGTGAACAAAATATACCCTTATTATAAGCCTACTCTTTCCATATTTTTTTAAGTGAAACGTTATAATTTTTTACACTATTTATCTAATCCACTTTGATTAATATTACTCCATCAATTTCATAATGCTAGTCTCATTTAAAAACGTTTACATAAATTAAGGAAATTGGAGATTATTGGAATAAAGTACTTAAGGTATAAAACTATATCACAAACTCACTATATACTTAGCATCATATAAACACACTTTTATAGCATAGACTGAATTGACCTGTGAGGGGTTTGTTTGATAGAGCCTTTCATTTTACCTTTAAAAAAAAGGGTCATTTAGTTGACATTTACTACCGGCGAAAGTACCTTGTGTTACATTTGCTGCCCGTTTAATTTTTTATTTAATTTTACTACCACCTAAAATCAAATAACAAAAATTTCACTACCACTTAACGGAATCCATTAAGGTTCCGTTAAGTTTATTAAAAAAAATTAAAAATAAAAATTAAAAAAACCCAGCCACCCCTCCCCTCAACTGCCACCCCTGCCCCTCCCCCCTGTCGGCGCAACCCCCTTCCCTTTCCCCCACACCCTATGTAGCCCCCCGATCCCCCAACCCAAACCAAAAATTTCCCCTTCCCCCTACCAGAATCCGCCACCCCAGCCCCCGTTTCCCCCACCAAAATCAACCCCCTCCCCCTTCCCCCTACCCCTTTCGGCCTTCCCTAAACCTAAACCACCACCCCAAAATCACCATAAGCGAAACCCTAAATTCGTTTTGGGTGGTTTTGGGGTGGTGGTTTAGGGTTAGGGAAGGCTGAACAGGGTAGGGGAAGGGGAGGGGGGTCGATTTCGGTGGGGGGAGCGGGGCTGGGGGCGGATTTCGGTGGGGGGAAGGGGAAAGGGGGGTGGTTTTGGTTCGGGCTGGGGTCGGGCAGCAAGAACATTGGGGAAAGGGAAGGGGGCTGCGTAGAGTGGGGGAAAGGGAGCGGGGTGGGTTTGCGCTGGCAAGGGGCAGGTGGCAGTGAGGGTGGGAGGGTGGCAGTGTGATGGAGGGGTGGCTGCAAGGTGGTGAACGGTGGCTAAACCCAACAAACGAAAATAGTAACGATGTAAGTCATTGGTAGTGAAATAAGTATTTTAGGATTTGGGTGGTAGCAAAATAAAAAAATAAAAAAAAATTAATAGGTAGCAAATGTGACACACAGTTCTTTTGCTGGTAGCAAATGTCAATTTTTTCTAATTTTTATACCAAAATTAAATTTTATAGATCCATCACAATTAGACATTTCTCCCTATCGCATAATGGATTTTTTTCATATCCGACCCAAACAGACCCGACCCGACTTAAAATCCATCCGGTTATTTGGATTGACACCTCTAATCACAATTAGACACTTCTCGCTACTCCATAATAGATTTTTTTCATCCCTAATCCCATGAGTTCATTAGGCACCAGAGTGAGTAGGCGGCCCTTGCTAGGGAGTTATCGTGCAATCATATGATTGAATCCTTCCCATCATCGAAAGAAAAAGAGACAAAAGCAAAGTCATTCTATAGTGGAAAGAAACAAAAAAAAAAATCTACGTTATAACCCTCAACTTTTTTAAATTCTACGTTGTGCCCTCCACTTTTGAAACGTTTACACTGTAACCCCAAGGTACAGTTAGTCATTGTACGGTAATCCACGTCATCAAGCATTTATGACGGACGTTAGGTGGGCATTTAAGACGCCACCTAACTGTACCTTTGTACTACTCTTTTCTCTCTCTCCAAATTTAATTCCCTCCCAAACTCACTCCCTGTTTCATTTCTATTTGAAAAAAAAAATTGATCTGAGAAACCCTAAATTGCAAAACAAAAAGAGCGAATCTTAAATCTGTTGTTGTTGCGATTTGAAGCTAGTAATCTGGTGCGAATTTGGGTCCTGAACTAATCATCATTCTAGGTATGAGTGTTGTCTCTTGTTTGGTTAAATTTTGCGAATTGTGGTTGTATATTGCTGATAAATGTTTGGATTGTGTTGTTGATTGCATAAAGTTGATAAATTTGTTTATTTGTTGTTATAATGTAGTGGTTTTGTGGCATAATTGTTTAAATATTAGGTTAAATATGCAAAATTTAGCTTAAGTATTCTGGGTGTGCATAATGAGTTTTTTTTTCTGGGTTTATGGCATAATTTGAGTTTGATTTTGGTTAAAAGTTGTGTAATGTATGTGCTTGTTATGTGAATTAGAATGTAGTTGATGGTTGTTTGATTGTTGTTTGGTTTGGGTTTAAAATTTGCAGATGGAAGAGGAGAGAATATTCAAAATTCATTATGGTGGAAATTGTGTTGATTTGATTATTGATGATGTTGAAAAGTGTTTGTTAATTGTGTGATAAATGATATGTTTGAGGAATTTGGTAGGAGAGGTTTTGAGTTGCCAGAATACCATGGGTTGCACTACTGTTTTAAAGAGAAAGCAATTAAGTTGGTTGATAATGATACAATGATGACAATGTTTGGAAAAATTGATACTAAAGAGATTGATGTTTGGGTTGGGTGTTTGAGCTAGTGAGCCTTCATTTATATTGAATTTGGCCAAAACTGTTAAACCTCAGCAAGTGCAGCCTAAACCACAGGCCCAAATATCTGCTGGCCCACCTACTCCACAAATTGAACCTCCAGGCCCACCTACTCCACAAATTGAACCTCCTGGCCCACCTCCTCAACAAATTCAACCTCCTGGCCCACCTCCTCAACTAATTGAACCTCCAAGCCCATCTCACTCATCCTCTTTACCGGCTGGCCCATCAGTTGGTAAAGTTGCTTTAAAAACAACTTGTCTTTCTAATTTGTCAACCAAGCCACCTACAATTAAACTTCCAGTAAAGAGCCCAAGACTAATAGCTGCAAAAAATGCATGTATACTTGACTCCCCTCCCTACTCATATCCTGTTCATAACTCCTCTCCACAAAATTAGTTCCCCCGTGTCAACAGTGGTGAGAGGAGATTGCCTAGGATGTTGGAAGAAATGTCCATGTCTCCTCCCCATGTGTCACTAGCTGCCTCCTCTCAATCCCAATTATCTTCACCAACTGAAAGTAGGAGGAGCCCTAGGCTTCTTCTAAGTCAAACCCAAACAACAGTTTTATCTTCTAATACAAACCCTTCTCTTTCTCTAAAGAATCAAAGAGCCAGATCTAAGGCTTTAATCTTCCCTCATGGTAAAAAAAAGGCTCATAGTACTGCTAGGGTGAAGGGGATTAAGATACTACCAACACCTAAATCACAGGACATACCTATAGAACCAAATTCAAGGGGTAGATGCAGGACTAGAGATCCTAATGTCAGATATGAGGGACAAGAGAGTGAGTCCAGTTCTGATTCTGAAGGAGATTAATAACCCCATGATAGTGAAGATGGAGATGACATTGAGATTAGAGATGATGAGGATATAGTGGAGGAGAATCTGAGTGATTTGATGAGCCAGAACTTTGTTGATGGGAATTGGATACCATTTCAATCACATGAGAGGGAATTTGAGTAGGAGGGTTATTTGGGAAAGGTTTACATAAATGGTGAAGTATATGATGATGCTGAGCTAGGCAAGATAAGGCTTAGAGCATGGCAATTGTTTGTTGACAAAGAGCATTTTAAGGATGCCCTTAGAGACTACTGCATCCAGGAAGGTTTTGCCTTAGTTGTGAGGAAGGAAGAATGTGACAGGTACACAGCTGAGTGTGCTGACATTAGGTGCAGCTGGAAAATACATGCAAGCATTCTCCCTGATGGATACACCTGGGCAATTAAGAGTATAAAAAACAAGCATGTGTGTGACATGAATCTCATGAAAAACCCTATGTCTAACTGTCAGTGGGAAGCTAAGAAGAATTTGGAAGAGATTAGAGCCAGCCATGACATCAAAGGATAGGCATTGAATGAACTTTTGTGGGAGAGGTATGGAATAAAAATGGCTGAATCAACTGTATACAAGATGAAAGGGATTGCAATGGGGATGATACAAGGTGGACATGATGATTTATATAGCAAGTTTATTGATTACTGCTATCTTTTAAAGGAGAGGAATCTTGAATCAGTTGCTTTTTGTACATGGAAAGTATTGCAACAGCCTGAGAAGCCTTTGCAGTTCAAGTCTATATTCATCAGCTTTGCATCAAAATTTAGAGGTCTTGTGCAAGGGTGTAGGGGTTTGGTTGGTGTTGATGGGTTCCACTTGAAGGGGAACTATGAAGGAGTGTTGCTGTTTGTTGTCTCCATTGATGCCAACAATGAGATCTTCCTTGTTGTTGCAATGGTGGACTTAGAGAACAAGTCTAGTTGGTGCTGGTTTTTCCACCATTTGAAGACTATCATCACTGAAACTGGAAGAGAGGACTGGACCATAATGTCAGATAGACAAAAGGTAGAAATCTTGTATACATTATGTTATTTCTGTTCTTAACGGTTTAAAATGAATGATGTGATACTGACTGTGTGTTGTTATGTTGTAAATGCAAGGGTATTGACCCTTCACTGGATCGAGTTTGGCCCAAGGTACCTATGAGGTATTGTGCAAGGCATCTTTGCAAGAATTTTAAGTCAGAGTACCCAGTGATGCTGATGCATAAGGTGTTTTGGTCAGTCACAAATGTCTTTGCTGAGTTCAGCTTCAGGAAGGCAATCACCAAGCTTCACGCACTTGTTGGTTTAGGTGCTGTGAAGTGGTTCAAAGAGATAGGGCCACTAGTAAGATGGACAAATGGAGGTTTGATCCACAGCTGTGCTCTGATGAAAACACCAATAATTTTGTTGAAAGCTTCAATAGTACAATTGGTGTGGACAGAATATACCCCATTCTTACTCTTTTGGAAGGTAAAAATTGAAATTCTTTAGTTTTACTCTCCTCTTTTGCACCAAGTTCTAATTGTACTGTGTGTATCTATGTGTGCAGGTGTGAGAAGGATAGCTATGGTGAGGCATGCTACAAGGCAACAAAGAAGTGAGGAAAGGGTTGAAGGTCTTTGCCCTAACATAAGGGAGAGGGTTAGGGATCTTATCAAGGAATCCAGATCTTGCCATGCTTACCCAGCTGGGAGAGGAGAGTATGAAATATCATATGGGAAGAGCATGCTCCCAGTTTCACTTAACTCAATGAGCTGTGTCTGTGGAAGGTGGCAAATAATTGGTGTGTAGGCATGGAATGAGGGCTCTGTTGCATGCTGGAAAGGAACCAACTGACTATGTCAATGAATGGTACTCAGTGGCTAGGTACAAGGCCACTTACAATGGCAACATTTTACCTCTTCTAGATAAAGAGCAATGGCCAAAGTTGGATAACCCAAAACTATTGCCACCACCAATCAAGAGGAGTGTAGGCAGACCCTCTAGGAATAGAAGAAGAGAATAGGGAGAACAAAGGAAAGGGAAGAGAAGTGCCACTATCAAATGCAGAAAGTGCAACCAATATGGCCACAACACTCTCACATGTAAGGGGGGGGCAACTTAGAAGGAGTTGAGGGAACAACAAGGTAAGGCAGCCACCAAGAATGCTAATGGGAAAGGGTCAACAAGACAACAACCTTCATCACATTCATCTGACACCAACCTAATTGACCTTATGATTAACAGCTGTGTAGGAAGCCAGAACTCAACAAGGGAAAGATCACATCAGCAGCAATCTAGAGCACCAACTGGGAGGATGGAAGCTGCAGGAAGAAGTTCCAGCCAGCCAACAAGGCAAAACCCTGCACCATCAAATACAAGAATTGGTGCTTCAAGTCAGCCAGCACCAAGTAGGGTATTTGACTAACACATCAGTCCAAAAAGGCAGAAAATTATGAACAGGCTATCCATGTTGTAACTTGATGTAATTGGTGTTGCATTTTAATTATTTTGGCAGAAACTGGATTAATATGATTAAATGTCCATGGGGGTGAATTTTTTTACTACAAAACTGCAATAATTGCCTAGTTGTGGGGCAATTTTTTGTGTAAACAGTGGTTGTTGTGTATATATGCTAATTCTAGTCTCTTTTGCTATTATATTATAATGGTTTCTGCTTATAAATAAAACAAATGCATTTACAAACACAGAATTACCAAATAAGACTTTTATTTCATAAAATTAACTTGAGTTACAATAAGCTACAATATTAATATGACAATTACAATTAATTACCCCCATTTTTAAATAACAAAATCACAACTAACACATACATAAAAATTCCAACTTTCACTACTTCCTTAACATAAGACACAAAGTATGTCAACTGCAAAACCAATGAATCAATCCCATTGTTGTTCTTCATTGCAGCATTCAACCCCAAAATATCACTTTTGTCCAGCCACTTGAAGAACCCACAATCATTGCACTTGAAAAATGCTTTCCTTAGGTTGCGAATTGTGTTGAAATCTTCAACTTTGCAAGCTTCTGTGGCCTACACCAACATCGTGGACTCACAAACTTCAACGAACTTGACGAATTGGAGGGTAAGGAGTAATGAGATGTAGAAGATGACATGCTTGGTAAAGTGGCAGTGAGAGGATGAAGATGAGAGAGAAATCAATTAAAAACCCTAAAAATTATAATTGGGGAAAAGGGGGAATATGGAAAATAGGGGAAAGTTGTTGATTTGGTGGGAAATAACCCCCCTAACATAACAAATAACTCGAAATAGTAGTTAAATAATAATAATAAACGGAACCTCGTTAACAGACACTTGACGGTAGGATTATATCGTATTTACTAACTATACCTTGCGGTTACAGTGTAGACGTTCTAAAAGTGGAGGGCACAACATAGAATTTCAAAAAATTATGGGTTAAAATGTAGAATTTTTTTAAAAAAAAATTAAATTAAAAAATAAAAAATAAGACAGTTAGCAAAACGAACAAGTGTCCATCACCTTCTCATTCCACATAACAAAAAAGAACGTATAAATACCAATACAAAATTACAAATACGTTCAAAGTTCCCAAAATCTCTCAAACACTCACTTGTCTTTCACTCTTTCACCTTCCACCACTCAACCAAAAACACAAAATGCAAATCCTCCAAACAACATTCACCCTTCCAAAACCCCAATTTCCCCACACTCAACTATCCTCCTCCAATTCAATCTCCCCACTCTCTCTCCTCCCTCACCTCTCCACCCTCTCCCTTCATCACCGCCGTCCACCAACCACTCTCATCCGCATGGGCGGAGGCCCAAGAACCTACCCGGGCGGCGTCTCGAAATGGGAATGGAAACGAATGCAGGCAAAGAAAGCCAAGCAACTCCTCAAAGCCCGCCTCTCTCGCGAGCGTCAGATCTACGAGATGCGTAAGCGTGCTGAACTAAAGGCCGCTGTATCCGATCTTGAACGCCCTTGGGAGGTTGTGCAGAAGGGTGCTCCTAAAAGCTCATCTTCGATTTTCTCCGTTTCGGCTGATGAACAGGTTAAGGTTTTAGCTGATAGGTTTCAGAAACCTGGTGGTTTTGATATGTGGTCTGAAAATGATGGCCCTCAGATTTTTCATACTCATGAGAATTTGCCCTCTGCTAGGTTTTTTCCTAAGGGGGTTGTTCATAGCGTTAAGCCGTATGGTAATTGCATCGATGATGGGTTTAATTCCAGTGGAAATGGGAAATCGAGTGTCGGGAATTCGAGCTCAAAGGGTGGAATTCGGAAGCAAAAGGAGCTTCGTGGCTGCGATGCGGGTTCGAAATCGAGTGTCAATTCCCGCGCGAAGGGTGGAATTCGGAAGTTGCAGGGTGATGGAATTGAGAAGAATTTGATGAATGTGAGGAGAGAAGAGGGTAATGAGGAAGCGAATTCGAAACCGAGGAATGATAAAATTAAAGGGTATGGAAGACGACGTACAAATTCGAAAATTTCTTATGGTGAAGAGGTATATGATATGAGCTTGCAAGGTGATGGAAGTTATGGTTTTAGTGGTAGCAAGAAAGATGATAAATTGAGGAGATAAAATAGGTTATATGTGATGTACATAAGATTTTTTTTGTTTTTATTTGATAATATTGGTGTATATTTGTACTATGTTAGTATGTTTGACTTTAAAAGTGATGAATGAACTAAATTGAACCAAGCTGAAAATGGACTTTCACTACCTAAATAAGTAAAAGTCTTGTTTACTACGGAGTATGTAGAATGCAGTTGTACATTGTAAAAAGGAAAATAATACTTCTATGATACTTCGTATTAAAAATTCATAATTTCATACAGAAAGGGTGTAAATCAAAAGAGCAAGGTTAAAGACACGAGCTTACTATGATTGCATGAATGTATGAAGCTTATGAGCATGAAAATGAACGACATATTCAGATTGTAGCACAACTGCGACAGTACTATGATTGCATGAATGTATGAAGCTTATGAGCATGAAAATGAACCACATATTCAGATTGTAACACAACAGCAACAGAGGTAGTAAAACAAAGTCTAGTATTGGAGCTATGCTATGACACACTATCAATATCCCTTTATTTACATTCGGATGCTTCCTAATGTTTTATTTCTAACCTAGTCCTTATTTGTACGCAGTTGGTAGTCCCGAGTCTGTTGGGAGCTAGTCTCCTTTTTCTCCACGGTCAAAAAAAAAAAAAAAAATTCTAACCTTCATTTTAAAAAAAATTAAAAGTAAAAATAATTGAAATAAAAAAATGACATGCTAACATTAGCAATATAGCATAACATTAGCAATATAGCAGTAAAACAAAACGCTGGAAGGCAGTGCATATATGAAATGAATTGAGAAGAGCACACAGCAATCAAAAGCAGATACTCTTTGGAAATTCACCATTGCCGAAAAATCAGTTAGCAGTTGGATTATATACAAATTTACGCAGCAGGAAAAATGCTCAACTTAAGCCACTCAAATACGAAACATCGTAGTGACTGAACTTATTTAACATTCCAAATATTCACAAACTGGCATTTGCAAAGGTAATTTTCTAAAAATCAAAAAGTTCCCAGTCCTCGTCCAAAAGCTCCTTGACAGGAGTAGCTCCAGATCCAACAGCCTCCTCCCCAACATTGCTTTTAGGTGTTTGACACTCAACTGAGGGTGCTCGGCTCATTTTATTAGGTGTCTCTGGTAACTCCATATGCCCAGTTGCAGGATCTGAAGCCATGCTCTTTACTGAAGAAGTCGACGATGCCATACGAAAACTTGTCTGCTCAATGGAAAGATACTTGCTAAGAGATACACGTTGGTCAAATTTTTCCTTCAATGACTTCACATCCTGACAAATAACAGATATTTCTCCCCTGCAAAGAGGTCAGTCAATTGATACATTAGTAACCACTATAATTCATCCAAAAAAACTGTGCAGACAGATGATAGAGAATAAAAACACCAGTAACTCTCCGGAATTATAAAGAAAAAAAGGTTGGGGTAGGGAATAGATATCACCAAGGGCAAGATAATAACAGGACAATCATGTAGGCAGCCCAACCTCCTCAGTCAGAGAGGTGGGTTCCAACAGAACTCAAAGAAGCAAGCCCCCAAATACTAACGTAAAAGCAGTATGGAGTGGTTGAGTTGTAATGGTTCGTTTTGCAAACCAATAGCCCTAAAAACTGTTACTATAATGACTACTACATGTAGAAAATTTTACAGGGTGCTGAACAAAACTTTTCCTTAATGGCTGTAACCAATTATCAGCTGGGTAATTTAATCTTCCATTAGCTCCTCGTACATGCAAATCTAAATGATTAACTTATCAGATGATACATGCATGATGCATCCTGTTTCACGAGCACACCAGCTGCAACGGGTCATCTTTAGCTACCCCTTTAAGGAGTAATTGAACAAAACTATTCTAAAAGGCAAAAAACAATCACTAAACTTGCCACAGCAGAGCATGAAAAACAATTGAAACAGGTAATAACACCCTCGTGCAAAACCAAGCAAAATAAATTTGTAATGGCAAGCAAGATGAAAGCACCAGTGCTACAGAATTCCGCAATCTACATATAAAGAGTACAGTAAAACTTACTGCAGTTCATCAACAACACGACCTTTCTCCATAAGAAAGTCCCTTAGCTGAATAAAAGAAAAAATGAAAGCTGTTAGGTTATCTTCAATAAAGATGAAATAAAAGAGAATCAACAGAGCACAACCTCTTCAGCAATGGCTGTTTAGCCAGATAAGTTATTGGACGTACAACCTATTCAATCTATTTAGTTTCATTGAAACGTGTGAAATGTCCAATGTTGAAAAAAAAAAGGAACGGATGAAGTATATTTTACAGGTCTATTAAGATAAATTACACCATGAGTTCTTGATTCATGAAACTTGGCATAGCTACATGGCATTAATAACCCAGTCACTGTTTGGACAAACTTCTGGATTTTCTGTTTCCAAGAAGAACTTTTCTAAAAACACTTTCTCGAAAAATAGTTTTAATAATAAGGTGTTTGGCCATGAAGAGTTAAAAATGCTTACAAGAAGCCAAAACAGCTTTACACTGCTTCACCCATCATTTTTCTAGAGTAGGTGCCAAAATGTATTCTAAGTCAATATATCCTCACTGATATTTTTTTTACTAACACAACTCACATGAATACAAAGAGTAATACAGGGAGGTCCCTGTATATCTTGCGTAGATGGCTATACCATGTTTATTAGAAATGTTCAGCTTTTACAGTATTTGTACTAGTTGGAAGACATGGACCTTTGTTGTGGGTAAATTGATTTAATATTTATTGAATCATATCATACTCTTCAAGTCTGCTTTTCCTATTGATATTACTTGATACATTAATTAGTTATTTTTTTAGTTTGTGCTTGAAGAAAGATTGAATTTAGATGATTTAAGATCAAACCCATGAAGCTGATTTTACCGACACAAGCCTTGATCGAAATGAAAAGGCCTAATTTGAACATTTTTGGCACCAATGTAGGCATATATTAACTTGTGTTTGAATTCAGAATATTGATCAGAGTTCTATTTGATTATCAAGTTGTTCTACAACTTACATTTTATTTTATACTTAATGCACAAATTCAACCCATTAATAACTTAAATAACCAATAAGCAAAAATTATAAAAAGCTGATATTTTGAAAAATATATCGTGATGAATCTAACAACATCCCACATGATGACAGGACTATATTTTTCATTATGTATAAATCACAAAACACGGTCAAAGGTAAGTGTGTGAATATTGCTAAAGTCAAAACGTGTCAATTATAAAAATAAGTGTATGAGATATTGACAGTTAGAGTTTTGTTTTCAACAATTTGCATTGTATGGATATACTTCAGGTAGGGTCACCCTTTTTTTATAAGCCATAAACAAGACATTAAAAATAAGGGTTAATCAGGTTGAGTTCAGGTCAGGCCATTTATAACATTTAAGGTCTAGATTTGGAAGCCTGACATGTTTATGTAAGTAGGTTGGGTCCAAGGGTGGTGTTAACTGGTTCTAACTCTGCATTAAAGCAGGTGCAGAAATCTGATTATGGGAGGAGCTAAATTCTTTAAAGGAAAGCATACACTAAAAATAATTGGAGTCCTTCAATGAGCTATTATAATTTATAAATGCATCATTGCATGTAGAAAAGTACAGAAGTAAAACTCTACCTTGGCATTCTCCTCTGCTTCTTGTTGCAATAATTTTGACTCTTGGACCACTCTCTCCATAACGAGTTCTTGCTCAGCAAGAGCCCCTTTTGCTATCTCTTGCTTCTCAAGCATCTCTGTTTCAGCTGCCTTCCTCTCTTCTTCAGATGCAGCTAATCTAGCTTCAAGAGTTTCCCGCGTCTACAAAGAGAGAGAAAACAAACTAGGGAATCAAAAGACGCTTTTGAAAAATGAAAAAGGATCTGCACAATCAAACTAGCAACTAATCATGCATAAGACAATTGGATGGTGAATTTTAAAGTTATATTTCCTCTTTTCCTTAAAATTACAATATTGACTATCACATTTGACAATCCAAACTTTGACCATTAATATTCTAGATTTTCCATCATAAAAAATAACAAAAAGTAGACGCATTGAAAACTTAACATTAAAAATTATCCAACATGATATATATATATTTTTTTATTAATCCCTTTGTTTCTTATTTTATCATCCTATTTAGAATCTCTATGAATTCTTATGCAAATGAAATTAATTACTCTTGATAGATATACAAAGAAAAAAAATATATTCATGAGGAATCTTGTTTAATTCACCTCAATGTGAGGTTTCACAATATCAACTTCTTTATAATGCGTATATGATCAAATTTAGGTTTCAATGTGTGCATTGGAAACCAGACAAACAAGTGAAATAGCCCAATTAAAAAAGATACATAGCAAATTAAATAATGTGGTTATCCAAAGTTAGTATGTGAATAGTGTAAAGTCAAACTATTGCAATTTTTTAAGGAAAATAATGGAAGTATATAGTTCACATATATAGCTAGAAAATAATAATTACCATACATAAAAGTTATGGGTAATTAGAGAGAGAATAATTAGGCTAGTAATTAATTTAGTAATAAAAACACTGATGACTTCAAGATTCAGTTGTACAAATATATTTTATTATACATGAAACTGCACATTTTACCCATTAAAACTAGGGGAAGTAAAAGTTTTTATTAGCCCATATACTAAAAACAAACTTGATTATTCATGCTTCATACTATTGTGTTAACATATATATACCTCATCCCAGAAAGGCAGAAAAGAAGCACAAATTAGCTTTGCCCATAACTTATGAATGAAATGATTATCTCAGAAACACAAAGCATTGCATAAAATACCAAAATAACTATAAATGCTGATTAAAAAGAGCTCAAAATATGCTTTAGAATAAGATTCATTCATCATATGCTAAAATCTAGATGGTATAGTGTTAATGTGTTATAACACAAATATTGACCCCAATAGAAATAAGATTACTAATACTCCATAAATACAGAATTTTAGGGATAAAGAGCACAACATAAGTTATACATGCTTATGCCTTTATTCTTTATTTTTTAGCCCAACAATTGCAAAGGTTGTGGGTTAGTCAGAAATAAGGAATAAATATTGATAGAAAAAACACACACATCTTACACATAGAAAGAATATAATGGCATACCTCATCTAGAATAATAAGTGATTTATCTTTATCATCTGCCAGACCAAGGAGACGTGTCTGAAGCTCCCTTACTTCAGTTGCTAAAATGGACTTCTCCCCATACACTTCGCCAGCATGCTAAATGTTCAATGAGAGGACCAAGGTAAAAAATTATGAAATATGGAGTAAGCTTGCATAAAAATAAAAAAAAAATAATAATAATAATAATAATAAGAATAATAATAAATAAATAAATAAATAAATAAAAATAAAAAATAAAATAATAAAATAATAATGAAGTAAAAAATTACATATCCCCTATCATATTTCTAATATTCGAGAACAACTGACCAAGCATACCATTTCATTTGCTTCCTTTGCATGTTTAAGCATCTTTTTTATTTCTTCCACCTTCTCTAGGATGTCCAACCCTCCCCTGGCAGCAGCAGCTTTAGCTTTTTCTGCCTCTTTTTCCTGATGTTCAACATCCTCAATCAACCTCAATATTGATTCCGTGGCTGAAAGCAGCACATCCTACATTGTAGTTTGAAACCACTTCAAAAAATACTCAGGTGCTTAAACATATTACTTCAATTTGAATCGAAAAATGAGAGCAATTATCCCCCTTCTCTCCATAAATATGAATAACACGCTATCTCTAATCATATCTCTTTTTACACTCTTCTCTATTAAATTACCCACATGGCCATGTCTCCACAAAGCTCTCAACTTAATTTCAACTTATTTTGATTTATCAGACATGATAAGTTAAGTCAACTCAAAGATCTCAGACAAAATAAGTTCAGTCGTTCAGACGTCAGACAATAAAAATTCAAACAAAATTAGTCAAATAGAAATGTTCCTAAAATTTAGTTCCTAAGAAATATAAAGTAAGAGAAGTGCTGGGGGACAGAAGTAGTATGTAGAAATAAAAAATTTATACAAATAAAGGAGCACGTTAAAGCAATGGAGAAGTACAAAAGGAAGATTCAATTCCAAAACTAGAATAATACATAATTGGAGACGTAATCAAGATCTCAAGAAAATAGGTGTTTTTTTTTTTTTTGGTGGTAGGATGGTGATGTGAGGTTTTCTTTATTATTGAACTGTTATTTTCTTTTTTTAATTATTTTTTGTAACAAATTTTTTGCTAACTCAATAATTATAAGTCAACGAAGACACGGTAAATTATAATATACTAAAAATTGAAGCAATTGCAGTACAGTAGTACAAAGTAAACATTTGAATCAAAATGTATTAGTTAAAAGTGTTAAGAGTATGAAACATACTACTTTCAAAAATATTACTAGGGTTACATAATACGTAGTATGCTTCTATACGCAAGATGAGTAAGAAAGCACAATAAGGGCATAGTAAATCATAATATACTTAACTAAAACAATAGCAGTACACTACCAACCAAACTCCAAATACTAAATATTTTAATCAAGCTGTATCTTAAAGTCTAACATACTAGTTTCGTGTACATTTAGTTATTTACTACGGAGTAGTATTGATTACACTACTTCAGCATACATAAGAAATGACCATATAATTCAAAGCTAAAATTAATTTTTTATCACAAAGAAACAACCCTATAATTTAGAAAAATTTGAGATAAAGGACCTTTTATAGTGAGTTGTTTGTAAGAAAGGACCTTATTAAAAAAAAAAAAAAAAAAAAGGTGGCAGATTGCGACCTTATTTCAAAAAAAAAAATTGTGAGATGGGACCTTCTGACAAAATCCGGCCGTTAACCCTCGAAAACCACCTCCATCTCGCCAAAATCCCACCCTGACAACCTCCACTTCGCCTAAATCCCACACCGACCCTCGAAAACCACCTCCACCTCACTTAAATCCCACACCGAACCCCTGGAAAATCATCTCCACTAGGGTGAAACCTCACCCTGACCCTCGAAAACCACCTCCACCTTGCTGAAATCCAACACAAACCCCCGAATACCACCTCCACCTTGCTGATTCCCACACCGACCCCAAAAAACCACCTCCGCCACGCCAAAATCCATCAAAAGGTCCCATCTCGCAACTTTTTTTTCCCATCTCACAACGTTTTTTTTGAAGTAAGGTCCCAATCTACCACTTTGTTTATATAAGGTTCATTCTTACATACAAGTCATTTTAAAAGGTCCTTTCTCGCAAATTTTCCTATAATTTAACTATTTCTACACAATTAAATACTAACAACATCCAAACTCCGGAGCTAGAGCAAAGCAATCAAATTTATCCTACAATGGGAGTATGAAACAAAGGCACTAAAAGTTACATGATCATGGCACTATTAACTATTGAGGTTTTCCTACATTATGACCTTGTAGTGATGTGATATCTCTTACGTCCAAACCGGAATAACTTCTGATGAAAATTTTGACAGCTCAACCATATTGACATATTGGTTCTACACAGTGCCAACTGATTGGAAACGTTGCCAATCCCTAATTCCCTATCAAGAAACGTGCATAAAAAATAAAAATAAAACAACTTTGTTCACCAGAATAATAGAAGAAAGTGTTGCATTGTTCTTTACTACAGTTATTTGCTATACTCTCTCCCAAAAAAAAAAAAAAAAAATAAAACAGTTATTTGCTATACTCCATCAATCAAATACCTCATTCTCATAAAAAGCACAATAAAATTAAAAAGGAAAATATAACAAGCTGCAAATACCTTGTAATTTTTTGCATCTTTAATAATGTCCTCCACCAGGTTAATTCTGCATATTTGGCCAGAATGTGTTACTATAGTGCTTAATGTAATCTCATGACTCTCATCCTCAGCACCAACATCGGCCAAAGAAAAATCCTGTGAGAAATCAGCATCTGCATAGCTACTCATGTGTTTATTATCAACATCAGAAATGGCCATTACATTCTCAGCTTCTGGCTCAGTGACAGATATTGAGCCTGGATCGGCAGAAATGTTCAATCCCAACAAGTTGCAACCTAAAGATTGTTGCTTCTGCTGATAGTCAAATTCTGGAGCATCATTAACATCATTGTGATTCACATCCCAATTATTATTTAAGCTGACATCAGCTTCAGAAGACTCGGTATCTATCTTTGATGATGAAGCCTCGTCATTTTTTTCTACATGCACATCCGGTCTTTTGTCCTCATAATCACGAGAAAGAACAAAGGCTTCAAGCTCATAATCCCCAAATTTCTGAATGCGGTCATCATTGATACTCTCATCAATCAAACTTCCTGATGCAACAACCTTTTCAGCCTGACTAGCTTCAGCAATTGTATTTTCACATCTTACATGAACATCAGTTCTTTCATTCAGAGAATTATGAGAAAGGACAGAGGTTTCACCCTCCTTGAAATCCTGAATGAAATCATCAATAGATTCTTTGCATCTTAATGACACCAAATCATCATTTCTGGTGTTTCCATTTTGTAAGTCATCAATGTCATTTGCATCATAGAAGGATGAAGCCAAAGAATCACCATCAATATTATGGGCATCATTCAGCAGATGAGAATCATTAGCATCTTCTCCTGCAGCTGGTTCCAGAATAGAGGAGCTTGGTACTTGTACTTCAACCATATTCCTACCGTGTTCAACTGCATGGAATATTCTATTTAAATCAAACCAATAAGCAAAAAAAAAAAAAAAAACCTTAAAGCTTGTATAGATAAACAATTCATTGTAAAACAAACTAACTCATCCAAAAATCAGGCTCGTCTCAAATTTTAAAAAGCACATCTGAACACTACAGAAATATAACAAATCAGTATTTTTCATATAATTATGCCTACAATCTCAAAGTTAGGTAAATACTAATAACGAGAAAGGAAAAAAAAACCCAATTTCTACCACAAAAAATCTCTACAAAACGTTGTATAAAATCTTAGATTCTTACCAATAGGAGCAACGGGATCAGGATCAGACTTTTCTCTAATAAAAGGGAGAACATCAGTAAGAATTGATTCCACAGCTTCATCAGGATCCTTTGCATGTTCGATAGCTACAGCTTTCAAAATACGAGCATCCACCTTCACGAAAAAAGAAAAAAAGAAAAAAAAAAAAACCTTATGAACACCTCACTCGAGCAAAAGACGAATCAAGATGTATCCTGATAACTACTACAAAAAAAACCTACAAAATACAAAGTCTCATGGTTGCAAATAATATAAAACGGAGGAAGTATTTTTTCTGCATCAAATCTATTAATCATACAGAAATTGTAACCTGAGCGTGAATGTGGCAATCCATAAAATATCAAATCTATACAGAGAAAAGGCTATACATGGCAGCAATCGCAATTCGTAGAGCATATGAAAAAATTCACACTACCTTATAAACCCCTTTATGAATTCATTATCTCTTGAACAATAATTCATATGTCAATCGAAGCAATGTAAAACAAGTTAATTAACTTATTAAATCAATACCTGAGGAAATAGCTCCTTCAAAGTCTTGTATACTGAATTGAAACCCATTCTTTAAAGCTATTACACCTGTATTGCAGAAAAAAGTTACAAAAAATCATAAAAATATGATCAGAAATTCAGAATTACCCGAATCACATACACGAAAAATAAATTGTACATTCCTACGTAGTATAATTTAGGTTACAAAACTAGTTTAATTTAAATAATCAATCCCAGTAATTCAGAAAAAATAAAAATCAAAACCCTTAAAAAATACAAGAACCCAAAATCTTCCCAAATTTGCAAAATTTAATCAAATCCGATAAAAATTAAAACTTGGAATATAAATCAATTAGGAAAATTGAGTCGTATACTTTAATTTAACAGGAGTGAAACCATGAAAGATAGGGAATTTAGAGGAATTTAGAAAAATCGAGAGATAAAACGATCAAAATTCCGAAGGAAAGAGAGAGAGAAAGTAGTGCAGCATTTACCTAGAAATTGCTACGAGGGAAGAGGACAAGGGCGAGGAAGATTTATAGACTGTTTTTACCTAAGGAGGAAGTAAAAACAAAAACCTCATTGGGTCTACTTAGGTACGTTGATCCAATTGAGGTACCCGCGTTAAGCAATTTTTTTTTTTTTTTTTTTTTTGGGTGACATGAGCTTAAATAAAAAAAACAAAAGTGTGAGAAATTATTAAAAGTTGATAAGTTCTGCCGTTTTGTTGAAACATGTTGCTCAAAATGAGAATCGAAATTGAAATTTGTAGGGTTTAATTAAGATCCAAGGTATCATGTCTTTTAATATACTTATTTAATTTATTTTTTTTTAAGGCATAGGAAATATTATGTAATCCATATGATACAATATCTTTTCTATAGAAATATGATAAGAAAAAATACAATCATATAATTAATATAACCTCCGATTTTTTATAGTTGTAACTTTGGGGTATTATTTGAGAGATATAAAATATTCCAAAGTTGCAACTAAAACTTAAAAATTTGGAGGTAGTATATAAAGCTAAACTATAGCTAGGTCACAAGGTAGCGATGACACTTGGCGTTCTAACTTTTCGCTAAGTGTCGCCCCACGTTGAATAGATTTGAATAGATTTAAATAGACTTTATAAGATAAAAAATTTTGTTTAGAAGTCTATTTGGATAGAATTTTAGGATAAAATTGTTAATTTAGAGTTTTATTTTCGATAAAATACCAATATTTCGGATGTAAAGATTGAATTATAATTTTATTCAAAAAAAAATTTAGATTATAATTCTAAAAAATTATCATATAAATTTATTTTTTATATCATAATATTTTTTTAGAGCGAAGGAAGTGGTTGAAAGCGTAAAACATTCATTTACAATATATACTAATCGGTTAAAATAATATATTTCCTCTTTTTTATTATTATTATTATTTGCATCAGTTTGACCAACACATTTGTCAAGACGCAAGTTTGACCATTAATATCTTTAATTATCTATTAATAAAAACTTTAACAAAATTATATTATGAAACTAGACATTACAAAAATCTAATGATACATTATACAATAACATTTAGTTATTTTATGGAGGTGAAAAAAATAAGTCAACCATGGTATGTGAATAGTGCAAAAGTCAAAGTGATGCATAAAAAAAACGGAGGGAGTACTTCACAATCTAATAGAATTTTATTACTATGTAGACATGTCAATCAGGGTCAAGTCATGAGTCGATTGGGTCACTTCAGGTTACGAGTCAAGAAATGTTCAACCCTTACCCAAAGTTTTAGGTTCGGGTCAACCCAACAGGTTTTGAACATTTATTTAATTTAATTAATTTTTTTTTTGCTAATTTTTTTTTTATTTTTTAATGTATTAAATCGAACATTTCCACCAACATTATTATTAGCCATTACATGTTTACTAGATAGAAAATTATCACAAAAGCACATCAATTCATAACTAATTTTGTATCAATGATATATTTTAAAATTTGACATATAGATTAAAAATTTATCTTAAAATTCAATAAAAAAAAAATTAAAAAAAAAACACTCAAACATCGCACGAGGCACAAAACTAGTTTTAATAATAATAATACGATGTATTGAATTATTGATTGATATCTTTTTTTTATAATAGTAAATTAATTTATTAATAAGAAATCATACGACATCTATAAATATAAACGAATTTAACAAATATATAATTTTGAATCAATAAAACAAAATACAATGTTTAAGAGTAAAAGTAGTATAGTATTCATTTTAAACTAATTTTAGAAAAAACACTTAGAAACATTTGGGATGGATAAGAAATTATTTGGAAGAAAAAAAAAGTTTTATAGATAGTTACATAGCTATTTTCAAGACTAAGGGCCTGTTCTCTTACGTTGAAATTCAGTTCAGTTCATTTCAGCTCAGTTCAGTTCAGTTCAGTTCAGTTCAGCTCCTAATTTCCTTCTCTTATAAAATATTCAGTTCAGTTCAGTTCAGTTCAGCTCAGCTCAGTTCAGTTCAGTTCAGCTTAGCTCAATTCGGTTCAGTTCAGTTCGGTTCAGTTCAGCTGAGTTCAGTCAATGAGAACAAGCCCTAACTATTACTTACTGGGGTTTACAATGGGTTTTCAATTGATTTCGAATTGAATTAACTTTTATTAAGGCACAATTTGAAAAGTTCATCCATATCTCTTTAGTCTATCAAAATTCAAACCAAAACGGATAATTATACTTGTTCAATCATAGAGTATTTTTAGGGAACACAATTATTTGCCTAGTAACAATATATCTAAGCAAATTAAATGTAAAAGGGGTTTGTAATTTTTAATCAAGGTTAATTAATATTTACAGCCTTCTAATGTAATTTTTTATTAAAAATTATTTTTTTTTAGAGTACATGGCCACCAATGATAATTCGAACAAAAAAGGATACCATAATAAAAGTCAAAAGGCCGAAGCTACTAAAGAATATATTCCTTATAAAAAAAATTAAGTACAAACCCTCAATGTATTTAGAAGTAATCACCCCTTTTTTTAAAAAAAAAAAATATATTTTTTAAATTACCATCCCTTAAAATAAAAGTAAGGTGTCACCACCCATTATCTGAGTCCAACCACTTTTTCGACTTGGGGGCCCACATCACGGTTAATTTCTTCTTTTTATATTCCCTTTGCCACTATTTCATTTATTTGCTACAAAAGTAAGAGAATTTGGAGAATGTTTAGAGATTTTTTTAGGACTGTTGGTCGTTAAAATTGAAGTGAGTAAAAAAATCGACGAAACGGATTTATTAAAAAGAATAAACTAGTCATTACATGAATGCAAATTCTTAAGCACATGCTTATGCAGCTAAGCTAGCTACATCACCCCTCAAACGCAATTATTACTTAATGAAACACAGTAGCAACTTTCTTCCTTGAAATTTCTTAATGATCTTCCTGTAGTTTTTCACTTTGCTTTTCTTTTTTTTTCGTCCTTTTTTATGATTCTCTTTCATCTCTTTAATTTCATAATAATAATTTCGATCTCAATTTTCCCTCTCCTATTTCAGTATTATTTTCTCTCTCCTTTTTCTTCTCTTCATTTGACATTTTCTACCTCCTTTGTTCTTTGCATTATTAATCCTAATGAGATCATCAATGAAGGTTATTTTTTGTGTTGTTTATAACTAGTTTTAATTAAGTTAGATTTGGGTTGAGCTTGTAATTGTTTCTAAATTTATAATTTGATGAATAATTTGATGACTTTCGATTTTCTCTTGATAAATTGGTTTTCTGATTTTATAATTTTGATTCATTGGTATTCTAATTTTGATGCGAATATTAATTTAATTGTTTAATTTATAATCATTCTCTCTCTCTCTCTCGATCTCAATCATGTTACAAATCAATAACTATTTTCTCTATAATAAATCAATAATTATTTTTTCTATGATGAATCAAGGTTAATTAGATTATATTCAATTTTTTAGAGTTAGAATAATTAAAATTGAATTTGAGTACAATTTCTGTAAAAAAAAATAAAAAAAAATAATAATAAAAGAAAAAAAATGAACATATAGTAATATAAAAATGAACATTTAGTACACCAAATGTGAATATTTAGTAAAAATGAACATATTTCAACAATTTATTATATATTTATTTTTCGTTAATTATATTCAATGAATTTGAACCTATATAAAAATCATGTTCATTTTTAATGTTCATAACTTTTTTTAACATGTTCAATTTTTTGTACTAAATGTTCATTTATTTAAATTGTGCATGTATTTTAATTTTTATGAAATGTTCATTTTATTAGGTTGAAAGTTGAAATATAAATAGCCCTTTTCTTTTCTTTTTTTTTAATAGCCCTTTTTTAAAAAATATTATGAATATACTCATTTTAGAAAATGAACATACGCATTCAAAATATAACATATGCATTGGTTCAATTTTTGAATACGTATGAACATAAGCATTTTAGAAGGTGAACATGTACATAAATAAATATGAACTTATGGATTTCAAAAAAGTGAACATATGCATGTTAAAAAGTTTACGTAAGCATTCAAAATATGAACATAAGCATTTAAGAAAGCAAACATATACATAAAAAATATGAACATATGAATTTCAGAAAAGTGAACATAAGCATTCAAATATGAACATAAGCATAAACAGACAAAATGAGAACATTTTATGAACATTAACAATATCACAAACTATTGACCCACACCCAATGTTTGGTGAGGCCATTCTCCATTTTCCGCTTTTTCACTTTTCTTCTCCTTGAAAATCGGAAAATTGAACCTTTTTCTCTCCTCTTTCTTCTACCAATTTGCAATTTACTTGGAAGCAATTATGGGTTTGCAATTTCGCACTACTAATTTCGCAAATTGCAATCTGAAATTCACGAATTGCGATTTAAAATTCATGATGTGCGAAGCTGCTGGTGGTGGTTGTGGGAATTGATGCGGTGAGGATGTTGTGACTGATTGTGGAGTTTGTTTCTGGTGGCGATTCGGTGCAGGTGATGGTTTGATGGTGGCTGTGTGCTGCTGTTGTTGGAGTTCGGTGGTGGCTTAATTGCGAGCTATGAGGGAGTATATGAGGCGGCCCGGTGGGATTTACGGTTGCTATTGGTGGTGCGATTTGGTGTTGGTGAATTGGGGGAATAGGGGAGTTGGCTTGGTGGTGGCAACAAGTGTGGAGGAAGGAGTAAGAGCGAACTTTGTTGTGATGGTGGTAAGGGGCGGCGGCAGGGGCGGAGAAAGGAGAGAAAATGTGGTTGTGGTTGTGTTGGTGATGGGTAGGGGCTGCATAGGATTAGAAGAGAGAGAAAGAATGCATGGGGAAGAGAGAAATGGCCATTTTGTGAAGAAGACAACATTATATCAGCCAACACTATGTTATATTATGTTGTTAATTATATAAGAAAACAAATGACCCATATTAGCTAATTAAAATAACATATAAGCTAATTGATGTATGATAATATCATATATTGATAAACGTATCAGCTAACAAAAGAAATCTATGAGCCAACAAAATATATTTATTTGCTAACAAGAGGAGTATATCGGCCAACAAAAGGTATTTATCAGCTAATAAAAGAAATATATCAACCAACAAAGGATGCATATCAGCCAACAAATGAAGCATATCAACAAATAAATGCAACAGGTAAGCAAACAAAATAAACATATCAGCTAACAAAATAAAAATATAACCCAAATATACATATCAACCAACTAAAGAAACATATAAGCTAAATTATGTTTGATTTTAGCCAACAAAAGGAAAAAAAAAAACACATTAGCCAACAAAAGGAATATATTAGCCAACACAAAAACCGTATCAGCCAACACATAAAACATATCAGGCAGCGAGTAAAATATATCA